TTTTAAATATTGATAATTTATTTTTATTTTATAAATTTATTTGTTTATTTATATTTTTAATAATATATATATATATATATATATATTAATTTTTTATTATATTATATAAATAAATATGATGACATATAAAGTCTAACAAACTTTTTTTATAAACTTAAGTCTAATCTTTTTATATAAATATTTTTTTTTAAAACTTGACATTTTTATTAAACAGGTCAAGTCAAGTCAAACTTTAAAAAAGATAGATCATAGATCCATATTTAAAACTTGACTTATTCTCATTCCTAATCTAAACTTAATATTAATCATATAAGCACCTAGTATAGTCTTTTTATATAAATAGATTAGTTTAAAAAGTCTAAATTTGATATTTTTATTAAACAGGTCAGGTCAAGTTAAACTTTAAAAAAGATAGGTCATAGGTCCGTATTTAAAATTTGACTTATTCTCATTCCAAGTCTAAACTTAATATTAATCATATAAGTACATAATCTAAAGAATTTATATACTACTTACTTAATATGTGGATCAACTAATACAAAGTTGTTCTAACGTAATCAATTATTTCAAATTCAAGTTTTGGATACACAGTTATTTTAAATATTTGAAAGAAATTTTGTCATCCATAATGATTTTAACTGACTTGAATAAGATTGTCTTTTTATATAAATATATATTTTTTTAAGTCTAAACTTAATATTTTTATTAAATAGATTAGATCAGATCAAATCAATCTTTAATTTCTTATTTAAGATCTAACATTTTCTTATCTCTATTTATGACCATCTATTAATTTCTTATGATAAAAAGGAGTTTAAAATAAAACTATCCAAAAGTGTCTAATTAAACCAAAAAAAAAATGAGCAAGATGGGATGTAAGATGGCGTGACAATACTAAAGATGGCATACATTCAGGAGGCATTCAAGGCAAAAACTAAAAAGAGATCAAAATGGGAGAGAACTCAACATGTCATGTGAAGCACACATGCATATAGACCTTTACCTCCTTACATGCTTAAAATAAAGCTTCCTTCAGCTTAATTTCCAAAGCACCAAGACAAGACTCGGCAAAATGACCCGCTCCCTAGTGATTTATTTTTCACTTTGGACCCTGCTTTTGATACGTTTCTCCACAAAGGGTGTTCTGGGGGAGCCACCATTTTCTGCAATGTTTGTGTTCGGAGATTCATTGGTGGATAATGGGAATAACAACTACCTCATCACCTTAGCAAAAGCAAATTTCAATCCTTATGGCATTGATTTTTCAGAGGGTCCAACTGGAAGATTCTCTAACGGCAAAACTGTCACAGATATCCTAGGTAACTTGCTTCTGCCTTTTTTTTGTCATGTCACCAAAATCATAAAGACACAACTCAAGTTGTTAATTTTGCACTGATATTACAGGGGGAATTGTAGGTCTTCCTTTGCTACCAACTTTTATTGATACCATTAGACAAGACAAAAACATTTCCTGGGGTGTCAACTATGGTGCAGCAGCTGCTGGTATAATGGAAGAGACGGGGCGAAATTTGGTAACCTGTATTCTAAATGCCAAGTATCGAACAATTATACTCATAAAAGAAATATGAATTTAAAATAAATTGAGCTTATCGCATAAGCTATCTTATCCACTCAACTTTTATAAAAGTTTTTTTTTTTTATAACTTTTTTAAATCTTAAGGTAGATAATTTAATTTTAGAATATAAAAAAGTTAAGAGGTGTTAATGGTGAATATAGTGTTTAAATTGTCAATGTATTATCTATTTTCTCAAAAGTTAAATGTATTATACTTTTTTATTTCCTTCTCTCGGAAGTTCTATCAAAAAGTTTGTGCAAACAAAGCCTTTGTCTTTATTAACTAAGGATCAAATGAAACAGGGAGAATGCATTAGCTTTAGTCAGCAGGTGCAAGACTTTAAAACAACCGTAAGCCAGCTGAAGATCCAAATGGAACCCAGGAAATTGAGTAAACACTTGGAAAATTCACTGACAGTAGTGATCCATGGCAGTAATGATTACATAAACAACTATCTCGTGACTGAGCAATATACATCAAGCTCCCTCTATAAGCCACAAAATTATGCCGAACTTCTCATTCAGCGTTACAAAAGCCAAATTTTGGTAACTAAATTTACTATTAAACATGTATATTGTTACAGATACTAACAAAATAGTACTGCTAATACATATGTAGGGGATGTGTAAAAATAATGAATATGCTGCTAACTTTGCAGATTCTGCATGGTTTGGGACTCAGAAAATTCTTTCTAGCAGGACTTGCCCCACTTGGTTGCATACCTTACCAATTATCCAAAGAATTTGCCCCTCCAGGAGAGTGTAGAACTTATGTCAACGACATAGCAGACATGTTCAATGTTTTGTTGAGATCTCTGGTGGATCAACTGAATGCTGAGTACCATGGTTCAATTTTTGTGTATGGTAACACTTCCGGAATTTTCAGGGAACTGATTAGCAATGCAAAAACATATGGTAAGCAATGTTCAATTAATTTTCATATTAATCATATAAGCACTGCTAGTCTAAAGAATTTTTATATTACTTAATATGTGGATTCACTAATAAGAAGTTGTTCTAACTTAATCGGTTATTTCGGTTTCAAGTTTTGTCATTTATAATGATTTTTGATTAATTGAGTATGAGGATGATATTCAAATGTTATGTGATAATTCTTTACACAGGGTTCACGGTAACTGATAGTGGGTGTTGTGGTATTGGGAAAAACAAAGCACAGATAACATGTTTACCTGAGTTTGTTCCATGCAATGATAGAGACAAATACGTGTTTTGGGATGCCTTCCATTCCACTCAAGCAGCTAACAAAATTATTGCTCACAAGGTTTTTACTGGATCACCTTCTGATTGTTACCCTGTTAACGTCAACCAGATGGCACAAATGTGAGTGCTACCATCTGATCAAAACAAAACTTCAGTGCCTTCCCGTGTGTCAAAAAATTAGTTTTGTTGTCTAAACTTTTCCTTGTTATGAAGAATTGTTCAATGAATTTCAATGTCAAATATAATGATGAATAATAATATAAGAAGATTTGTTATGAAAGCAGTCAAAATGTCCATCTCCAATGATGTAACTAGAAGGTACATTAGGGTGTGGGAAGACTAGCTTGACTCTAGTGATCAATGCGATTTTTAACTTTGAAAAAGTTAATGATATGATGCAGGGGCCTGATTAAGGTTGAACTTAACCAAAACAAGATGAAAGTTTTTTTTTTAATAAAATATTATCAAAGTTGACTCAAAATGAGCTATTTAATTAATAAGGAGATAATAATATTATTAGTTATTTCTTATAGATATATTGTTTGAAGTGTGTGTTTGATTGTAACTAAACAGGTGAGAAATGAATAAGAGAGGAACTCATGGAGGAAATGAATAAGAAATCAATATTAAACTCAAGTTAATTTGTGCACAGAAAGTCACTGCATGTGTTTTGTAGCCTAGTATTATATTAGTCATTAAAACTAAGATTTGTTAAAAAAAATCTCTTTAATATCAAATAAGTTCTTAGATTTAGTTATTTATTCTTTTTTATCATTAAATATATATCAATAATATCATTTTAGTTATATATTTTTTAAATTTTGGACTAATATGATTATTATTATTTTTTTGTTCGTCCCTGGAGTATTCAGGACCGATAGTGATAGCAGTGACTAATCTCCTCGCTACGTTAGAGGCACCTCAAAGTATGGAATAGCTGATCCCAAGATTTAATGTGGCTGCATACACAAGGCAAGATTTGAACCACTGACCTTGCTTAAGTGTGGATCAACCCCTACCGCTAAATCACATTCTTGGAGTTTTTGGACTAATATAATTATCAATTCGTACTTTTAGAAACGTATTTTATAATTTCTTAGTTTCTGGGATTAATATGATTTGTTTTTTAAATTTAGATACAAATTTGTATGTTTAATCCCTAATTTTTAGTATTAAATATTTGATTTCTACTACTTTAAATAATTATTAATTTTAGAAGTTAGTTATTGTTGAAATCATGCAATAATTTTTTGCCCCCCTCACATTTTATTTCTGGTCGTGTCCCTGGTTGTAAAGAAATAAGAATAGATAAAAATAAATAGGTATTGACACAGGAAATAAGCAAGAAGTAGTTATTTGTGACGCATACGAATTTTGTGTCCTTTTTTTTCAATTCAAATCACAAAATATTCCATTTTCTTTTTTGTTTCTGATACTTTAGAAACGGACACAATTGATTTCTCTTGATATATGTTGGCTATTTAAAAATTGTTACAATTGATTTTTTTTAATAGATATTTTCAATTTAAAAACCACCACAAAGCATAAAACCAATTAAAAAGAATCATAATAGATAATAAATTATTGAAACGTATATAAGTCGCGCACAATCAATTTTGATAAGAAAAATTGATTAAAAAGTAATTTTTTTATTTATTTTTATCTTCTCAATCTTCCCTAATTCTTCTTTATTTTTTTCTTATTTCTCTTGAGTCAAACACTCATAATTTCACTCTATTTTCATTCAATTATTTATGTCTTTTTTTATTTTTATTTTCATCCACTTTATTTCTCAATTATTTATCTACCTTTTTTCTTTTAATTTTACAAGACTCAAATGAATCAATCATCCTCCACATTAGCCCTAATAAATCGAATGGCTTTCCTCTTATTGCGCATGAGGCTATTCTTTTAAAAATCTCGTACATTTTTATAAACAAATTATTAAATAATAAACAAATATATATTTAAAATATTGAAAAGATAAAACATATTTAATAAACTGGCAGAAAAAAAAATATTATAAGGAGACTTAAATGTTATTCTATATTATGTGTCATCAATATATGGAGAGAAAAAGACAAACATTCGCGTTGGCACAGTGCAACAGTTGGGAAGGTTTCGGAGTTTTGGTAAACAACTTGGAAAAAAAAATGAGACATTGGTTTTGGTCCCTACATTGTAGGTCGGACACTTTGAGAAGGATTATGAAATTTCTATATATATGGCTGAAATTCAAGTATTTATATGGATTTAAAGAAATTAATTTTTATTGATTATATCAAAAATATGTATTTATTTTTTAATAATTCATTATATAAGAATTCTACAATTAAACATGTTTGACTTACAGTAATTTAAAGATATGTGATTATTTAAAAAATTTCTTAAAAAGTGTGCAAATAAGGATAAAATATACCAAAAAGTCTTGTTGATTTATGAGATCAGTTGTTAATCTTAAAAATAAATGCACATTTCAGAAAAGAACTACTCAATGAGAGTTCTGACTGGTGAAAGATTTTGACTAACGAAGAGTTGTGTAAAATGTCATTGTGTAAAGTATTATGGAGTGAAATCATTGATCTAATATATGTTACAATTGAAATTTTAAGGACGATCAATTCGTAATTTACTTTCGTTTTTTAGTTTGGATAATCATTTTCTTACTTTATGTTTCTATAATTCCTTATTAAAGAATCTTCGTTAGATGATAAGTATACTTGAAATTTATAAATTTGTTTTAATTTTTTTTTCTCTTGTGTGACCTCATTAAAAGATGATTATATTCAACTGTGTCGACTTAGTGTTGTAGGTATTGGACTTACATGAGGAGAAACAAAAATTTATAAAAACACATATAATTTTCATTAATACAAGACATTTTGATAGATAAACCAAGAGTAAAACCATAAGAGATACTAATTTGAAGACATATGTATGAATTTTTTATGTTCAATAATAAACATCTCTCTCAATAGTGATTTAAACCTTAATTTGCTATATTGTAGGAGAGTAATCTTTTCACTTAAATTCAATCTCATTGATTGAATGCTTATTGACTAATATATTGAATCAAGGAAAAAAAAATTGGTGGAATATTTGCAATTAACTTTAGTTTTTTATGAACTTTTAAATTGATGAAATTAGTCTTCCATCTATAAACTTCAACCAACACTGTCTTAAACATTTTGGTCAAGATTTAACCATAATTTTTTTTTCATTGAACATCTCCTTAGAAAATGGTAACAAACTAATATTATAATGAAGGTGAGTAGATACATCTTTTATTTTAATTAAATTATTAGTATATGTTTAAAATACTATAAAATACCCTCTTAATTTTATATATTAAATTTAATAATGATTATTTTTAATATTTACGTTTTTATTCTTTATATGTATGATAATTATAATTATTTATTTTTATTTTAAAAAAAAAAGTCTCCATGCTGATCCATTACTTTCAAAAGGCTTTAAGAGGGTGGGTGTGGCAATTGTGGGCACGAAGTCACCATCACTATTCGACCATTATGAAATCAAGCCTACCATCCTTCTTGGACTTAGTAGGTTTCTTCCATTTTATTTGGTGCATTTTTGTATCATTCAGATTTTGAAGAGCCTACCCGTAAGAACATTACTATCGTGTCAACTTTTAATATTACTTTCAAATCAATACCAAAACTTTTATTTCAATATATTTTTTTAAAATGCCAGTTATTAAAGTTTTATATCATAATAAAATATTGAACATCTGATGATTTTCTTCGATCCTCTCCTATTATGACCACCTAAAAAGAATAATTACAATTTTTTTATCATCTGTGTTTCACAATTTCGTAAAGTTATTTAACTTTTAAAATTGTATATTTTGATATCTAATTTTATAAAATACATACATTTTGTTACTTATTAGTTAATTATATAACGTTGTTAATTGATTATTAATGTGATATATTATGTCGTATCATATATATTCTTTTTATTAGTTTATTAGTTTATGTAGTTTTATAAACTTTCTTTTCTTAAGAGTAATTACGTTACTTTTTTTTTGAGACAGAATAGTATTGCATTGGTCTTCGTTAGAGTATATGATTTAGTTTATTTAATTTAACATTGTAAATATAAATTATATCTTTCTCTCTTAAAAAAATATAAATATTATGCTATTCACTCTTTATATGTTAAAAATATCAAAGATACAAATATTATACTATTATTTTTTCATTATATTAACTTAACATCGTTAAAGCATAATCATTATAAGATTCATAAAGATGTATATTTTTAATTCAATTATTCTTCCAAAAAAAAAATTAAAATATATTTTAAAATATTTATAATTCATTGTCACTCATTCACTTAAATAAAAAAAATTATAAAATATATAATTAAATTCAAATTATTCTATTAAAATAATAAATAAATTAATATAAATATATTTATTTAAAAATTATATATTTAACACACGTATTTTAGCATTACGTTAATTAAATATAATAAGCAATGATTTATCATAAAACATTAGTTTATTTAAATATTACTAAAAAATTGTATTAGTAACATCAACTAAGTAATATTTTTTTTTACTGAAAATTCAATAATACCTTAATATTTATATATTAATTTTAATATATATAACTAATACTATATAATAAAAATAATATTTCATTTAAATGTTTATAAAAATATTATCTTAACTATTAAATAGTATCTCAATACTTGTATTTGATTTTACTATACTTATATATATTATTTTTATTTTGATATATAATTTTAAAAATATTTTTTAAGAATATATATAATTAATTTTATTAAAATTTATAATTTTTAAAATGAAAATTAAATATATAAATTAAAAAATAAATTCTTAAAGTATAACATGTTTGAATTTGTTTTAAGAGAAGAAAGTATTTATTTTAATACCATAAGGGTGGTGCAGTATTTATATTTTTGAGTGAATAATATAAAAAAGTGTGTTGGTAATAATTTTTTTGTTTTGTAATGAAAAGTATCAGAAAATTAAAAAAATGGATAAGGTTTCATAAGTTGGAATCTTTTGAGAGAGAGAGAGAGAGAAATGTGATTTTTAATATAAGAGAAAAAAAAATAATATTCGTATTTCTCGAATAAAAATAGTGTAATTTTCTCCTTTTTTTTTTTTAATTCATGAAACAATAGACAACATAAACTAAAAGGAAACAAAAATAATATGCATAAAAACTAAAAACAAAAATATAAAGTTAATGAAATTATAAAAACTAAAAAAAGGCATTCAAACCATAAATCAATTTATAAGTTACTCAATGAATTTATAAAATATACGTAATTACACTTTTTGTCACTCATTTTTGGTGAATTTTGTCATCTAACTTTTAAAATCATACATTCTAAACTAAATTTTTAAATTTTTATATATTTTATCATCTTAATATTTGACTGAATGACGTTATTAATAAATTATTAACATAATATATTAATCATTGATATAAAAGACCGATATAATATACATATAATAACACATTATTGATTAATGTATCACATTATCAATTCTTCAATGAATTAAAAAAGTATAATCAATTAATAAAGTGATAATACATATAAAAATTTAAAAATAAAAAAAATAGTATTATGATAAGCTCTAGATTGGTAAGCAAAGATGGACGTTGATTCCCATACATATGTTTCTGTTCAATAGACTTGAAACGCCTGAGAAGTGAGAAGTGAGAAGTGAGAAGTGAGAAGAATAAACCCAACCAATCAGATTCAGAGGCAACAATTCTTGTTTCCTGAGTTGCCGTTGGATGGCTCCTTCGTCCTTAAGTTAATCCGTACGTGCGATATTTATTTATTTTCTTAATCCTATAATCCTATGCCTATGCCTATTTTTATTTTATACTGTACCCAATAAATCACATTCTATTAAATTTTCAAGTCCACACCAAAGTGTACCTATAAGTCCAGACTCCAGACCTTGGTCTTCTTCTCCTTCCTGCACTTACACACTCTCTCTACTCTCCGTGCTGGCGCGTGCCTTTCAACCGCCACCACTCTCCCGCCTTTTCTTCGCCCGATCCTCGTATGATCACTTTTCCTTCCTTTCTCTTTTCCCCATTTCCGCTTTTCTTTCTCTCGTTATTTCCGGCGCCGTCGTTTTCTCACGTGTTACCATTTCATACCTGCATTGCTTCTTGCCTCTTGGACGAGTCTGTTTTTGTAAAGATGGTAAATTTATTCAAACTAAAAGGAAAAAAAGGGAATAAAGAATAAGTGGGTTCATCATCATCATCGCACTTGCCACGTACATGCTTTGCTTTGCTTTGTTTCTTAGGAAGGATTTTGGCATCTTCTTAGGTTAAATTAACCGCATTTCTGTTTTGGTTGGATGTGATGATGCAGAGTAAAAGAAAGCCAAGAAAAAGAAACACTTGGGGTTTCCAGGAGGATACAGCTAGGTTTTAGAATTTTTTATGTGGGTTGGGGGGTTTCAAACTACCTTAATTTTCTGCGGTGAATCTTCCCTGAGTGCATTTGCAAGTGTTGGCATTTCTGCGGTAAAGAAGCATGCTTGGCTACACCTTGTTATGGTTTTGTGGAATTACTTTTTCCCTGCCTTATTTTGTTATGATGTGAAATGTTACATGATGGCAAGCTTCACCTATCTGGAGCTTTGGCTGTTGCGTGTTTTGTATAGTAAATGCTTTCCCCTGCTTGTGATTCATATTAAAGCATTATCCTAAAATGTACACTGTGTTGGTGTTTTATGTTATGTGGTATTACATTGAGATTCTTGCCTTCATTTGCACTGCCCCTTCATTTGATTTATGTAAAAGCATTTCATGCCCATTGTGGTGGTCTTTAGCATTATTACATTGCGATACCTCTTTTTGTAGCAGTACAATGAGATTCCTTCCTTCATGTCTATTGCCCCTGCACGTGATTCATAATAGTCAATATTGCACCCATAGCACCAGTATAGTGACAATGCTTTCCAGCGCACATGCTACCACTTCTGCATGGTCTGTGGTGGAGCAGTTAGTGTCACGGTTATTGTGGTGTGGTTCATGGGCCATTTTTGTATAGAATCATGCCCATCCTTGCTGTTATTTTTTTCCATGTATAAAACCTTGTTTGTTTGGCCCTTCATATGTTGTCGTTTGGTGCTGTTTTTTTGTTGCCTGAAGTGAAGCAGAACATTGTCACGGTTATTGTGGTGCAAATTGTGGCCACTTTTGTGTAGAATTGTTTTCATCCTAGCTGTTATTCTTTCCACTTGCTAAACCTCATTTGTTTGGCCTCTCAAACATTGTTGTTTGGTGCCTGCTTCTATGTAGCCTGTAGTGGAGCAGTTTCATGTCACTGTCATTGCGATGCAAATTGTGGTTACTTTTGTTTTGCATAGAGTCATGGTCATCCTAGCTGACATTCTTTCCATGTAATAAAACCCTGTTTGTTTGGCCGATCGAACAATGTCAATTGGTGCTGTTTCTGTGTGGCCTGTAGTGGAGCATTTGAGTGTTGCAGTTATTGCGGCACAAATTGTGGCTGCTTTCACATAGAATTGCAGCCTTTCCCCTCTGTTTAATCTTTCCAAGTAAAAATCTTGTTTGTGTGGCCCCTCCGATGACGTTTGGTGCCATAATGTGGACAATATTGGGATTTTGTCCCCTTATTATTTCATTAGAATACAAAACCTATTTTTCTCGCCCAGTTCAGTGTTGCAGTATTGTGGTGCTTGGTGGACAATCTTGTATTTTTTCCCCTCTAACAATGTTGTTTGGTACCATAAGGTAGACAATCTTGGGATTTTGTCTAATTATTTCATCAAAATGCGAAACCTTTTTTTTTTCCGCCCAGTTCAGTGTTAAAGTATTGTGGCGCTAGGTGGACAATCTTGCGATTTCCCCCCTTTTTATTCCATCAGATTACAAACCCCTACTCGGTTCTTTTGAAGACTAAACATTTTCACTACTCTCATTGGTGTCTTCTGTCCGTTCTCTATTCAATGGAAACCATCTGACCCAGAGCTCTCAGCTGCGTTTCTGACGAACCTGTTGCACTCCAGTTAGTTTCCAGCCAACCCACAATCTGTTTAACTTTGGCACACTGTTCTGTGATCTCTACTTTGATCACACATACTTTGAGGTCTTTACTGCTGACATCAAAGAGGGATCTATGTTCTGTTATGTAAATGTGTTTATGTTTTGTTTCATCTTTCTTTCACTGTTGTGTTCAGATAGGTAACTCCATGTTGCCCTTTTTTTCACTGTGGCTTTTATTTTACTCTGATCACTTCCTTTGTGGTCTGTACTGTTGAAATCAAAGAGGGATCATTTTTCTGTTATATATGTATGTTTATGTTTTGTTTTCTCTTTCACTATTGTGTTCACATAGGTAAACTTATGTTGCCCCCTTCCACTTCTTTTTTCTTTGGCTTTATATTTCTCTGATCATATCCTTTGGGGTCTTTACTGTTGACATCAAAGAGATATCTTGGTCTGTTATAAATGTGTGTTTTTGTTTTGTTTTCTCTTACTTTCACTGCTATGTTCAGATAGGGAACCTTTTTTCTTTTATATTTCTTGGCTGTTATTAACTTCTGCATTTGGCTTAAAATTATGATTTTTCAATTATTATGAATGTCTTTGCTTATGGCTAATTTTTTATTTGAGTGCACACACACACACACATACATATATATATGTATGTGTGTGTATGTATATTAAAATGTGCATTGCATTGGTCTCCTTTCTTGCACATTTTGTTGGTCTTTTTGTAGTTTTATTACATTGGGATTCCTGCCTCCATGTGCATTGCCCCTGCATTTGATTCATGTACAAGCATTATCTTTTCACACACATTGCGTTGGTCTTTTGGTATTATTACACTGAGATTCCTCCCTTCATGTGCACTGTCCCCTTCATTTCTCTTGTATATGCATCATCCTTTCACACGTATTGCTGTGGTCTTTTTGTAGTTTTACATTGAGATTACCTCCTTCAGTTATACTCTATTTATGGTGTGGCTCCTTCTTTCCATGTTCTGAGTTCAGAATGAAGTGTTGGTTCTGGTCTTTATTTGAGAATGGAATATGTGAGTGAATGAATTTCTTATAGTGCAATGATTTGCTTGTGTCTGCAACTGTTAGCTAGAGTAAGACTTCCGTTTCTTAAGTTTGAGTAGGTCTTGTAGTTGATGAATTAACTGATATTTTCTTTGCAAGTTCCTTCAGTTTTAGGATTCTTTATGCAGTTTACCTTTTTCATCTATTATGCTTAACTGGCTAAAATAATGATCCAGAACAGTGCACATACAAAATGAGTTCAAAAAGAGGGGGTGGAAGACCTGTAACTTCAGCTAACAATGATATGTGCAAAGGGAAAAGCATATCAGAATATCAGCCAAAACTTGAACAGTTGACTCAGGGTATTGCTGACACTAAGTTAAACTCTGGACAAGATGATGGTGAATGGGAGGTATATGCAAGGAAACCCAAGAACAAAGCTGGAAGCAGTGCTGGAAAACCATGGGGAGGGCCATCGCAAAATTCCAATCCTAGGGCATGGAGTAATGCAGATATGGCTCCAAAGCCAGGCAACCGGAGTCATGGTGGAGTTGGAAGATCCACTGGAAATCCCTGGCAGACACAAAATGCTAACTTTAGGAGACCAGCTGGCAGAGGAAATGGAAGGCCTCAGGTAGCAACAAGTGGATATGAAAGCTACAGTGTGAATCCAAATCCTTTAATTCGGCCTCCCCTCGAGCATGGGTGGAACTGGCAATCTAGACCTGGTGCAATGCAGTCCAATATAACTGATGAAATTGCACTGGAGGACCTTGAAAAGAATGATGAAGATGATGTTGATGGGGAGGAGGAGGATTCTGATGCTTTGGAAGATAGTGATGATGATTTAATGAGTGATGACTATGATTCTGATGCTAGTCAGAAGAGCCATGAGACACGTAAGAAAAGCAAATGGTTTAAAAAGTTCTTTGGGATTTTGGATAACTTGACTGTTGAACAGATAAACGAACCAGAACGACAATGGCATTGTCCAGCTTGTCAAGGTGGTCCTGGAGCTATAGATTGGTACAGAGGACTGCAGCCCTTGATGACACACGCCAAAACAAAGGGATCAAAGAGGGTGAAGATTCACAGGGAGCTTGCTATCCTTTTGGATGAGGAATTACACAGAAGGGGTACTTCAGTAATTCCAGCTGGGGAAATTTTTGGTAAATGGAAAGGCTTAAAAGAAGAAGAGAAAGATCACGAAATAGTTTGGCCTCCAATGGTTATCATTCAGAATACGAAGCTTGAGCAGGATGACAATGACAAGGTACAGTTCTATATTTTTATTGGTGTCAAATGATGAATAACTAGTCATGTCATTTAATATTTTGGCTACTCGTATTTATGGGGCACAACATTCACAATTTTTGTATAAGCTTACTGGTATTTGTGCTAAACTTTGGATTTGTTCTTTGTATTTAGTGGATAGGTATGGGTAACCAAGAACTTCTTGATTATTTTAGCACATATGCTGCTGTGAAAGCACGACACGCTTATGGCCCACAGGGTCATCGTGGGATGAGTGTTTTGATATTTGAAGCCTCAGCTAGTGGCTATCTAGAGGCAGAGCGTCTTCACAAGCATTTTGCAGAGCAAGGAACTGATAGAGATTCTTGGTTCATTCGCCCCATTTTATATCTCCCTGGGGGGAATCGCCAGCTCTATGGATACATGGCTACAAAAGAAGATCTAGACTTTTTCAATAAGCATGCCCAAGGTTCCATTTACTCTTTCCTGGTTACATTTCTTCTCCATAATTGCATTATGCAGATTTTTTGATGTTTATCATATGCAGGTAAATCTCGGCTCAAATATGACCTGAGATCATATCAGGAGATGGTTGTACACCAAATTCGGCAAATGAATGAAGACAACCAGCAACTTATCTATTTTAAGAACAAGGCTGTCAAAGGAGCAAAACATACAAAAGCTCTTGAAGAATCCATTGGTATGATGTCTGAGAAGCTGCGAAAGACAATGGAGGAAAATCGCATTGTGAGGAGGAGAACAAAAATGCAACATGAAGAAACGAAAGAAGAGGTAATACTAACATCAGAATGACTTTATGGTTGTTAATTTTATTGAAAAGTGGTAACTTTGCATATTTGCTTGTGGAATGTACTTATGGGATATTATTTCTGGAGCCAGTGAGTTGAGGTTAGGATATGCTTCAGCTTGATTGTATTGTTGAAAAGTTTTAGCTATAATTTATATTTTTGCAGTACAAGAGTGGATAAGCTAAAGTTACTGTCACATCCTTTATCTTCCCCGTATGAGATGTTTTGCATATAAAAAATGTGATTCATGTATACTTTGAACTTCAGTTTGGCGTGTCATCTGTCAAATTAGCTAGCAATGAATAAGAGATACAGTTGCATATTTGCATTTGTCGCCCACCTAAATGTTATGTTGTCACTCTTGTATCTTTTTCCTTTTCAATATAAGTAAACAAATGAACGAGCAATACTGGTCCTGGGCAAGATTGCATTAGGTTATATTTATCAAGATGGGTTATAATGCCGTAAAAGAAAGGTACAAAACTTGTAAAGATTGTGCCTTGAAAGAAAGGTACAAAATCTTGCAAAAGATTTGGATCTAGGTTGATTGTTTTTGCTTTGTTGTGGAGGTCTGATGCTTACTATTAGCCCAATTTTCCAGAACAATTTGTATTCATTAATAAATTGATTGAATATTTTCATCCAAGGTCAATCTTGCCTTCTTGGTTTTACTATTTTGACTAACCAGTGTTAATTTATTTTCTCTTCAACAAACAAAATTGATTTTCCCTTTAATTGTTACATTTTCTCACTAATGTATCATCTTGTCAATCATGCAAGATGTATATGCAAGAAAAATTCTTCAAGGACCAGATGAAAATCATTCATGAGTCAAGGGATGCAAGTGAAGAAGATTTTGAGAGGAAGCAACAGGAGGAACGTGAGAAGGTTAAGCAGTCAAGTACTACTGGTCCTGTAAATTCTGAGGAATATAGACTCAAGTATGTATTTGTCATTCACATCTAAAATGGTAGTGTTTTTAAAGTGTAAGAACTATCTACATGTGCAAAAAAAACTCTTATTTGATTTCTTTGGATGTAGGGTGGATGAATATTTAAAATTTGTTGAAGTCCAAGATAAAGAAATGGAAAACTTTGTTGCTGAGAAGGATAAACTGTGTTATGCTCATGATGCGAGTATTGCTGCAATGAGGCGTAGGCATTGGGAGGAAGAGATGCAGTTGGAGCAGAAGTTTGACGAGGAACTAGCCAACCTCATGGAGAAGTACTCCCCGTCGTAGAACAAGTCCAATGGTAGGGTGTTGAGAGACTCATACTAACAGATAAGAGATAGCACATCGGCATTCTAGAAATTGAGACTTTTAATACTTGAGTATGCCATTTTCTTTTTTTCAGTACTTGTTTACATTTAGTAATGCATGGAGATAGAATCTTTGGTTAAAACTTGCAAAGGTGTTGTATGTGACTTGTTTAAAAATTTAATAGCAGCAGGGGTTTTTACACTAAATATTTGATAAATTTTTAAGAATCAACCGCGGATAAATATTTGATTATTCATGGCACTATTGATAATCTTTTGAACAAAGTTGGGGTGCAAGGGAATATCCAAACTACATGGTTAGTCAGCTATTTCTTGAGTTGGCACTGTGCCTTTTGGGCGTACTCTGTCTCTGGTGAATGAATGGCTACCATTGGATTTTTATAACGGAGGCGTAATGTAGCGTCTTTTTTTTGTTCAACTCTATTTTGGGCTTTACTTTTAGAATATAGAGTTTTTATTAATATCTGTTTTGTCATCAATTTTAAAAGAATGCTTAAAAGTTAAGAATTTCAAAGAAAAGGAAAAAAAAAAAAGAACATGTTCCACTCCGGCAAAAATTAGTGGGCCAATTCTTGATAGTTGGCAGCTGCGGCCCAAGATTAGGAAGGCTCTATTATTAGATGTGAAAAAAATTAGAAGGTAAGTTTTTTTAATGTGCTTAGTGTTTGTTATACTCGGCATATTGATTTGTTTATAATGAAAATGGTTGGAAAGACAATAATAATTGATTACAATTAGTTGTAGGAGAATAATTAAAATGTTACAATTTTTTTTAGATATATCGAGCTCAACCAAGCTTTAATTAAGTTATAATAGATATTAAATGTTCCTATTTCTTGATGAAGTGTTTATCTACTTCAATGTATTTTGTTTGATTATGTTGAATAGGATCGTGATTATGCTAATTGTTGACTTATTATCATATTCATAGTAGAGCTTCATTCGAGATAGAGATAACATATAATAGTCTTACATTAAAGTTTTATTGTAATATTTTTTACCGATTAAAAAAAATAAAAGTAGAGCCTTTTCACCGACAAAAAAATAAACAATAGAGTTTTAAATCATTCAATCTTTGACCCATGTTTGTTTAAGTAAATTTTGAGAAGAGAAAAGTATAAGAGTAAATAAAATTTGTGGTTGTTTGGAAGAAGAGAGAAGTGGGAGAACAGAGAAAAGAGGTAGTGGGATACATGGGGAAAAAATCTTTTCATGGACGAAGATATATTACAAAAATTTAATAAAATTGTGACTTACTTAAATAAATAAATAAATAAATATATATATATATATATATATATATGTATATAATTTACTTCTCTCTTTACTCGAACAAAACATTCAAGAATATTGATGTGTATAAACAAAAAGAAATTCTGATTCCAATGAATTTTGTTTCTTATTATCATTTTTTTCTTTTATCCTTTTTTATAAAGAAGGGTTCTTTTAATAAAAAGTAAACATAAAATTAAAATAGAATGATCTATTATTAATTATTATCCATCTTTGTACAATATTTTAAAAATATTACAAAGTATAAACTTAAAACGGATAAATAAGTCTTTTGAGATAAATTTTAACCAAACCAATGCTTCAGCGCTAGATATTACTGTCACTGCATAATAATCTGCATCTTTGAAGGCTATTTCGTATTTTATACATATAGAATTCCTCTTCCTAGTATTCCCTAAGGTATTGAATAATTCTGTAAATGATCTATAAGTAGATTTCTTTTAAATAACTTCAAACATATGTTCTTACAACATATAAAAGTTTGTTTGAAAAAAAAACGTTTTTATAAATACCTCTAGTAGAAGAAAATAAAAAAATAATAATAATAATTTTTTTATAAGTTAAAATTAATTTATACATAAATAATTTTTTTTAGAGAAGTCAATATAAAATAGATTTTATAAATTAAATTTAGTTTTTAGAAAAACTTATTTTATTTTTCCTATATCTATAAATACTTATGAAAAAATTTTGTTAAACATACTAAATTTTGGCATAAAAATTTTCCTATTTTAGATATAAGTTTCTTAAATTACGGTTTTCTTAAAGTTGATTTTAAGGTTTTATTTATCAGATAATTTCGATCATGTCGTCTTGATATCAGATAAGAAGTCTCACGGTGTCTATTATAAGTTCATGGGAGTTTTTTCTTCATTCCTTCTTATTACAATTCAATGATACGAACTTCTTTGATCAGGTTTTGATCAAACTGTAATAGGACTTGATAAAATGAAAAGCTTTTGTAAAGGGAAAATAGGACTTGATAACTTTGCTAAAAAGAGCATTGTATATTTTATTTTATTAAATTTGATTGTGCGAGGGACAAAGACAATATAGGAAAGTTCAAGTGTCTAATTCATGTACAAACTATTACCTACTGTAAAAAAAGATACCAAACTGATCAGTTTTATTAATGCACTTCATACTTCTTGTCCATTAAACAGCATTCGACCAATTCAAGCCATGCTTTTAGCCGAGCCAACATGGATCCAAACACGCACTTACTTTTATCTTTCTCTCAACCAGGTCATAGACAATTAAATGAGGCATAAAGTGTTTTTGAACTGCAAATATCAGCCATGTGATAATTTGAGTATACATACTAAATAGCAATGAACACATTATCGCTTTATATTCTGTAGTCATATAAATCCTTGCTCCATGAAATAATTTATCTATTGCTAATTCGTTTAGTCTACTCAATTTATGGAGTGGTGATTTATACAAGTATTTTTCATCCTATTGAAAGAAAATTAATTCTTGCTGGGTTGGGTCAACAAATATATCTATAAGATGTGTCTTCACAATACCATGATACATATACAAGATCACGCTAAAAACTCCACGGGTTCTTTAACTTGTTGATCCAATGTATGCAATGTACTGTAAATAATGCTTCTTTGAGGGTGGGAACAGTCTCCAGCCACAAAAATGTTATTTGTTCTTTCAACTTCGATCCAGCTGCATCCAGCTGGTTTTTTCAAATCTCTGTTCCTCATCGTTCTTCTGACTTCCATCACCCCATCCCATCTAGCATCGGCTGCATACAAATTTGACAATACAATGTAGTTTCCTATATCGTTAGCTTCAATTTTGAAGAGTTGGTTGGCTACAACACGCCCCAATTCTACTTCATGGTGGATTTTGCAGGCACCAAGCAATGAACCCCAAAGATTAGCATTGGCTTCAATTGGCAAACTGGTCACAAGAGAGTATGCTTCACTAATGCGGCCGCCTCGAGCCAGGAGATCCACCATACAAGCATACTGTTCCATAGTTGGTTTCATACCATGAAGTTTCTCTATTGAATAAAATACCTTCAGTCCTTCATCGATGCGGCCAGCATGACTGCAAGCAGATAATACGGAAGTAAAGATAATATGATCTGGCTGGATTCCCAACTTGAGCATATGAGAAAAAACCCAAAGTGCTTCTTCACTCATGCCATGCATCGCATACCCACCAATCATTGCAGTAAACATAACCAGATCCTTATCCATACTTGATTGAAATATCTTATATGCGCGGCCTATGACGCCGCATTTGGCATATGCATCTAAGAGGGCTGCTTCAAGGTGAAGATCCTTAAAACAAGATCGAATAATATACCCATGACACTGGCTCAGCAAGTGTAATGATGCCATTTGTGTGCATACTGGAAGGAGGCTCATGATAGTCACTGCATCAGGTTTCATCCCTTGAGCTTGTAACTCGTGGAACAACCCAAGAGCTTGTTCTGAACAATCATTTTCGGCATATACTCGAACCATAAGATTCCATGTAGTAAGGTCTGTCTCTGACATTCCACTAAATATTATATTTGCATCATGATGTGATCCTAAACCTACATAACCAGATATCAGTGAATTGCATGTGACTAGATTCCTTTTCTCTGAGAGATTCTGAAACATTTTGTTAGCATACTCCATGTTACCACATTTGGAATATGCATCGAGTATTGCATTGCCAACTGTTGGTGCAGTATCACTTAATAAAGATCCTGTTCTAATTGAATAGTTATGTATTTCTTTAACCTTTTCTACTCTCGAAAGTGAAACACAAAAACGGATTATGGTCAATATTGTAACTGAGTCAGGTCTAATTCCAAGTTTAAGCATCAAATGTAACAAGCTGAAAAATCTTGAATGATGCCTCTTCTCTCCAAAGGCATCAAAAATAGAATTCCATGAAATCAAATCTTTCCTGAATATCATAGAAAATGTACGATACGCTTCTTCTGAACAACCACATTTTGCATAGAAACTTACTAAAGCATTTCCAACAGCAGTATCAAAAAAAAGGAAAGGATGTCTGAAAATATATGCATGGATTTGTTTCCCCACCTGCAAGTTTTTCAACTGTACACAAGCTGGAAGTATGCTGATCATAGTCACAGAATCTGGCAATAACATATCTAGAGATGTTAAATTACCAAACAGATGCAATGCTTTTAACCATTCACCATTTGATGTATATCCCGCGATAACAGCATTCCAAGAGACCAAATCCCTTGCATCCATTGACCAAAACAAAGATTCTGCTTCCCTCATCTCCCCAACTCTCAAGTAGAAACTAATCAAAGCATTACAGACAGAAACATCAGCTGACAATTCAGGCCACTGCAGAACATAAGAATGGATCTGCCTTCCACAACGGTACGCAACACTCTTATCAAATGATCCACAAACAGGAAGAATATTTGCAACAGTTGCATAATTCGGTCGCGTAGGTCCTTTCACCATTGAACTGAACAACAAAAATGCATCTTCCACCAACCCATTCTCAGCCAGGCCAGCGATCATTGCATTCCACGAAACAACATCTTTGTGAACAATATTATCAAAGACAGCACACGCATCGCGAGACACCAGCCCACACTTTGCATACATTGAGACAAGTGCATTTCCACCAAGGGTGTCTTGCTCAAAACCAGACTTGATAACATACCCATGCACACACTTTCCAGCATCCAGGTCCCCCAAACGAGCACAAACAGGAAGGACAATAGCAATGGTAACAGAACTCGGCATAGCCTCCCCACTCGAATGCATCAACCTAAACACCCTCATCACATCAGCATCACATTTGTTGGACCATGAAAACCCAGACAAAACAATATTCCAAGTTACAGGATCTTGATGACTAATCTGATCAAACAGCTTGAGGCACTCATCAAGCATGCCACACTTGGCATACATGTTGAGCAACCCTTTATTGGTAACCTGGCAAAAACCATGGCCTTGTTTGACAACATAACTGTGCAAAGCTCTGCCCAATTTGGGAGCCAAAAGGATAGAACAAGACTTTAGAATAGAAGCAAGGACACTGTGATCGGGTTTGAAAGCTTCACAACCCTTTAAGCAGTGATGGAAAAGGGACAAGGCTTCATGGTGCCTTGCGTCTAAACATAATCTACAGATGATGGAACCCCATGTCTTGAAATCGCGTCCAAGCATAGCTTAAACGTTAGACTAGCGTGTTAAAACAAAATGATGTGGAGAATGCTAAGGAAAGCTCAACATTTGAGTTCTCAAGTTCCTCTTTCTTGAACGGACGTAGAAGAAGGAAAGTAGTGCTTGTTAACATTTTCACAAACAGTGAGCGTGCAATATGAAAAAGTGGCGTTCAATGCGTTGGTTTGAGCTTATTCAATAGGTTAACAAGAAGATTCTGGTGGCGCGTGTGGCTGAGTTTTTGTTTATATGGACCACCGCCGCTGCCGGAGGGGAAGTGACCACCAGCAGCACCACCTAAATGGGATGAGTTTTCTTTCTTAAGTTGGAAGCGAAAGCTGCGAAACACTCTCCTTAGACTAGTGCGCTCATTGTCATCTTCCATTAATTTTATTTTTCCTTTTGAATAAGTGTAGAAACTCAAATTTATATATGCTAAAAAAAATTCATTATACCATTGTTATTTTAATATAATTAAATATCTATGAATATGGGAATTATATTCTATATCTATCTATATTACATAAAGGGATTTTTTATTTTTATATTTTTTTTTACATTTATAATCTTTGACTATATATTAATCATTTTCTTAATATTATATCTCTTAGGGATAAAATAGAAGAAAAAATATGTATATAAAAAATTAAATGTTCACTCTATCAATAGCAATTACTTACTTATTTTGTAACCATCTTTTATTTATATTTTTTGTTTAAGATTATTTTAATATTTTCTAATTATAGATTATGCCATTTAATTTAAATGTTGTAACTTTTTATTTTTTTTTAAACAAAATTTATTAAGACAATACCTCTTTTCCACTTGTAACAAATAATTTAAATTATGTATAAAACGAATAACATTTTTATAATTTTTTTTCCAGAGAGTTTTGAGGGATAACTTCATATATCTAATTCAGTTTTTCTATGTCATGATTATTTATGAATTAAAGTTAATATTTTTAAAATAAAATATCAATAAATAAAAATAATATTATGTTATGATATAAATTATTTATCATAAATTTAAAATATAAATTATATATTTTAAAATATTTATTTATTCAAAAATTTAAATATATATACAAATCTAGTATTTTTTATATTCATAATTTATTTTAAATTTTACTTATACATAATAAATATTTTACATGTGTATTACATATGCTAAAATACTAATTATTATTAATTATTGATCAATTTTAAAATTTTATTAAAATTTAATTTAAAGATGGCTAAATTATATTTTTGCCTTTTATCTTATTTTTTATATTCAGTTTGAGTTTTTTTTTTTTTTAATCTTTTTTAAGAGAAACAAAATTAACTCATATCATTGATAATGTGATAAATAATACAAGGAAAAATATGACTAAAGTCACAAAGACCAACTTGAGATTAGGTTGCCTTTTCCAAATTATGGGCTACCAAGTTTACTTGCCTTGGAATAAAATTCATCTCATGGATTTTTAACATTTAATAGGAGCTTACATTTACTAATGATTGACCAAACTTAGAGCAATCATTTAAATGTTTATTCAAACAACTTATTACACGTTGGCAATCTATTTTGAATAAGATTTCTTCCATATTTAGTTTTAATGCTCGACTGACAGATTCTTGGAGGGCAAGAGCTTCACATTCGTATGGTTTTGAAAGAGGAGAGAATTTTTGTGTTCTAACTTTACAAATTGTTCCTTCATGATCACAAATGCATATCTTGACGTTGAATTCTCGCTTTGCAAGGAAAAAGGCAACCTCCATGTTGTAATTGAGCCATCTATAAATTGTTGGAATCCTGTGTTTAACGAGAAGCTTTGGAATTTGGTTGTCTCCTTTTACTTGTTGACTAACTTGCAACTATATTACAAGATTATCTTTTGTTGTGTACAATGTGTCATTGTTGTCTCAATCCTTTCCTCCCTAAACCTTTTTTATTTCCTCTAGAACAATTACTCCATGGTATCATTGCGAATTCACTTGCTTGTTTTTTATCCTAGTTTTGTAGTGTTGCAAAAATAAGATTTTTCAAACTATCAATATTATCTCAAGGAATTAATGTGTACCTAGCACTATTGAACGACATTACATCCTATGAGGTGCCATGCATTTTCAAACTAGTTATCACAGAATACACACGAAATTGGATATTACACTCCCTTTAACTAAAGGTTTAATCTCATGGGGAGTGCCTCTCGACTAACCCTACCACAGAACCGATTTTACTTTGGCAAGAATAAAAAACACCCTTCCAACATTCAATTAGAGATTTTGGCTCTCAATTTTACACCTTACTTGGTGAGCATTGATAACTAGTATAGCTTAGTATGTACTCCATATTGTTTTAATTTAAAAATTTAGAGGAAACAACTTTTAAAACAACTTCTCACTTAGAGAGCAACTTTCATACCGAAGGGTTTCAATACTAGGCTCATAAAGTACAACAACTTATATCTACATAATGGAATATTTTTATTTCTAAAATAACTTTTCTCTCCTCTAATTTTTATGTAACTTTCAACTTAAAATATGCAATACAAACATACAAAATAACTTATCATCATTCAACATATAACTTTCAACCTAAGCAACATATATATCTTTATACACATCATACATCATCATAATATACAAAAAAAAATTAACATGTATTACTTACAACATGTAATAATCAACTTAAAGTATCAATATCTCATCAAAAACCAACTTCAAAAGACATCAATAAAATAGAGAAATCTTGTTGGGTGAATGAAGTCTCACTCATCAAAGAAAGTTTGATCTAGGTCCCTTCGTTGGGTGAGCTTAACCCACTGAGGAGCATCATGTTGGGCAGCCACAACTTGTTGAGTGAGTTAAACCCCACATGGGTTCTCTCACCAAGCAACTATAGCTCATTGAGCGAGAAGAACTCTTTATGGATCTTTTGTCAAATGTGCTTTGACTCGTTGGGCAAGCTCTAAAAAGTCATCCAAGATTCATTTTCTCATTGGATGACAATCCCACTCTTGGGCAAGAATTTAGAATGATGATCAATTATGCATGCACGATATGTAAACATGAAATCTTGTTGGGTGAGAATGCGAAATTCCACCATGGAAGTTGACCTTCTCTTAACAAATGCAACCAACATATACTTTTTCTAGCACAATCAAACCATCAAACTCATTCTCAACATCTTAAAAAACAAAAATCCATCCTTGATGAGGACATGACCATGAGCAAAGGAGCTTGAGGAATTTAAGGACTTGGAGGACCTATGACAAGGGCAAGGACAAGGAGAGCTAAGGAAGCTATGCAACAAGTATTGACAACCCTTATTCAAAAAGAACCAAACCTTGAAGAATTGGTGCTTAAGTTGAACAATTACCTCATGATTAGAGAGAGGTTACTTGACCTTAATGGAAAAGTAGTTTGGAATAAATTGAACTCATTTTTTTTAGTGTTACTTGGCTGAATGGTGGGCGGTCAGATTACATAAATATTGGCTAAGTTGTTATGCCAATTACAATTCATTTTTAGGTGTTACTTTTCTTTTCCAAAAAAGGGGCAGCCAACTTAGTACAAATAGTTGGCTGATTTTTTAAAATCCTGGGCAATTACAATTTTTATTTTAAGTGATAATTATTTGGTTTAATTAGGAGTTTCATTTGTAACCATTTTGAAAGGTGGAAGGGCTATATAGGCAACGCCTAACACATGAGACAATCAGAATATCATTTTTTTTAAAAAAAAAACTTGTGAGTTCATTCTCCTAGGTGTTTATCCTACCAATAATTGAGTTTAATTAAAGGTCCTTCATTCATTTGTGTGTATAACTCAGGGCTTATCTTCCATCCTTGGAAGTATGACGCCTCTACCATTTCCTTTTTATTTTTTGTTTTTTTTATTCACGCATATTTCTGTCCAATTCTTCATGTATGAGCGTTGATTTGTGATTAAAATTTTGCACCTTGATGAATTTCATTTAAGCGCAAAAGTTGGCATACAACTCTGAACCTTAATTTTGAATGTCTTATATTTGTCAACTACAATTTCCTAGAGGTCCTTATTCAGAATCCTAACTATCAAGAGGATTCACATCAAACCTCAATTTCACCATGCAAGAAGTATATAACACAATTAACATTTTTGAATCTTAAGTTTCCTTCACTCAAAATCACACCTTCTCAACTTAAACAATCACTATTTAATCTTACCATATAGATCACCAATGGGCTAAACAACAACAATTTACAACTTAAAAAACCAAACAACAAACTTTCCTTACCTTGATAGCTTCTCAAAAGTAAGGGGAAAAAAAAAAGAAGAAAGAGAGAACTCCCGAGGATTAGTATGTTCTTTTGCTTATATTTTTTTCCAAGGATTTTATTATCCATGTGTTTTGTTGGTGAAGTTACTTAAGAAATGCAATTAAATTCAAGATATAAATTTTATTACTATTGTTCTTTATCCTTTGTGTTAAAATGTTGGTATATTGTAATCATAAATGATTGTTTTTTTTTATATCTTACCCTTTTTTGTTCAAGGATTGCATAGGAGCTTTTGATGATACACATGTTTCACACATGCATTCCAAAAGATAAGTAAATTTTGTATCATAGAAGAGAAATTAAACCAACTAACAATGTAATGTGTTGTTATTTTCCTAACAAGTAGTTTAGATTTGTAATGGCTAATTGCAAGAAATAACTCAAAAATATTTTTAGAAACTATTCAAAACTCAAATAATCATTTTTCCTATTTATGTGAAGGTAAATATTTTATAATAGATTATTGATTCACCAAAATTTTTAGAAGAAAAATTAAATCAACTAACAACTTAATGTGTTGTTACTCTTTTAATAAGTAGTTTAGATTTATAATGACCAATTATAAAGTACGATGAATAAAATATTTTTAGAAATTATTCAAGCATGTCATGAAAAATGTTACCACTTACATGATTATAAAGGCCATCAAATACTTCAAGATTCAAGAAACTTATTTAATTATATGCATTTTTCATTAGGTAATGTGGTTGAAAATTGTTTTAGAAGTTTTAAAAGGTCATTTTATATCATATATTGAAAAAAAATTGTTGAATTACAAGTTGAAGAATCATATGAGAACAATATAACAAAGCAACGTGAGTTTGGCAGATACCTGTCAAAATGACAATATTATATATATATATATATATATATATATATATATATATTCTTATTTTATCTTTAAATATATATTAGACGAAAAAAGAAATATAATTATCTATGAAAAAGTGAACATCAAAATGAAGTATCCTTTATATGTTGTTATAGATAAAGGTTTAAATATAATTTTTATTCCTATAATTT